AATTAATTTTTCTTATTATAAAGTGGGAATACTGGCACTGCCACCTCTGTTTTCTTTGAAATCTAGGGATAATTGTTGAGATATGTGAGGTAAAGATTCGTACTTCAGATTATACACAAGATTTTATGTAACATTTTGCTGTTGTCAATTCATTTTGTTTCTACAATAAACTGTTTTAGAATCGTGTGAAAATTTCAAGTATTTTTGGCATAAATATAGTCTAGAATCTCTGAAACTCCTGTGATGTAATGTGTTCCTTCACATTATTCCAAAAGACTAAATAACTGCTTGTTTAGACNTTTTTTTTTTTTTTGAGGAAGCCCTATGGAACCAGAGGGCCCAACACAGCAAAGCCTTAGGCATGTTTATACAGCTCTTCTGAGTCAGTCCGGACCAAGCATAAATCTAGAGGAATTCCAAAGAAACAAACTTACATTTGAGCCAAACTCAATTTTTCTTCTCTGTTAACAGAAAGTGATTTCGATTTGCACTTTTAGTGAAGAACGATGGATTTTGAAACTGTTCCGAAATACTGCATAATGTTGTTATAGAAAGGTGCTCAGTATTTCCTGCAGACTGTCAAATCCCCCTGCTTTGGAGATTGCCTGCCATTAGCAGAGCTGCAGTTGCAGCAACTAGTAAGTGTGTAACAATTGCTCAAACTAAGAACTACCACTTCTGCAATTCTAAAGTGTAATTCTGCTTTCAGTTTTATGACAATAATGTCAGTAAATTGATTTCTGTGAAATACACCAGCATTACACCTGTGCAGCTCTCTTTGGTTTCCATAAATGGGATTTTTGGCTAAACACGGAGTGCCCTACAAAACCTACCAATGTTCCCCGTATTAGATGACTTTTGCCTAAATGAACTTCATTCTGTAATGAAYAAAACGTACAAGAGCTCACATTTGCTCAGAGCAGCATTTTACTGAGAGCCAGCAGTGACAATGCTTGTGTATACCCAGGTTGCAGCAAATAAGAAGTCATTCAAGTTGACTTGATTTGCAATGAAAAAGAGGTAAACTGACTTGAAGCACTCGGTACTGACTACAGGCTAATACCGGATTCATGGAGACCTCTGATGCATGGTGACTGGTTATCTCACAAAAATCTATTTGCCAATGGGAGTTTTAACAATCTAAGAATTCTGTCCTTTTAAATTAATAGTACTGTGAAGATTTAAAAAACAAACGAMCAAAMAAAAACTTATTTTGTCTGTCCAGACTATGGAAACTGAAATACAAATTAATTCTCCCATTGTCTTAAAAAGAAACAGTATGAGGACCCTGATTTGAGTAAGGCGAATAAGATGAAGTTCATATCTAGAGCATGGGATCAAACCCAGAGAGGGAATGAACTATAAGAATAATTAAAAACAGGCAAAGCAATCTCTTGGGACTCTTTTCTGTTAAAAATCTCATCAGTTATACAAAAAATGCAGAGCTAATATAGGAAATTACTGAAAGTGGTATACAGATTTTTCAGGTTTCTCTTACAATAGTAGAGCTGTTAAAAAATAACCAACCAATATGCCCTCTTCTGCATAYATAGCACACAAATTCCCAATTCTGGATAAGTGCTGCAAGATGACAGTACTTTGCATTTGTTAAATATGAATAAAGCACACAAGTGTAGCTGTGGGCAGATTGAGCRTTTGGTTTTGACTCGAGGTCGTGCAGAACCAGCCTTGCTGTGGCAGCTGAAGGGCAGAGTCCTCCCTTAGAAACACCATCACAATYGTAAGTCAGTTCCAAGATTTCCTCTGTAAGTTTTGATGCTTTTCAAGTAACAACAATGGTAACATTTCTGCTTTTTTTTAAAAACATGAGGGTTGCAGATACACTCATTGCACCAGCCATGGCTCCTTAGTTCTTACTACGCTTAAAAAAATCAATTCACATAGTGTAACACTAAATTCCACATTTATGTTCATCTTCCAGAACATATTTAGTAAAATTCATAATTAAGAAATTATATTTTTTTTCTCCAGAACCCAGTTTCTACAGATATAACTTAGAGGAAAAACCTGGAAAACCCAAAACCAGTCTGTCTGCTGTGTTCTGCCAGCTCTTCCTAGGCAAATGAAAAAAGTGAAAACCTCATTCCCTTAGACAGCCACAGGCATAAACTTAAAAAAAAAATTAATATCTGTAATATCATATTTATAATTACATGCATTGACTTCAAGTCTATGAAGCATTTAAACTTTTAATTTTTGCACTGTTGAAATGAAGGATTGATTCTGCTAGAGTTTAATAGAGACATCATCAATTTCTACCCAATTTTGCTGGATATTCCTTTGCTTACGTTGTTGGAGTTTTCAATCACAAGGCAAATTTTCTCTCACAAAATCTTTTGATATATTAGTAGTAGGCCATGAATTTTGAGGAGAGGATGTTTTCTGTTCTGTAGAAATTATGACTGTGCCAAAGGGAAGCACATGAATGTAGACTGGGTTCTGGAGAAGTGTTTCATATTTGGTTAACATAAAAATAAAGAAAAAGACAGAATAATTAATGCCTAACTAAGCTTGCCTATATGCTGAGGTAACCTTAAATATCTTTGGTTTTCTTTATTTGCTGATAAGAAGTACCTTGAYAGATCATTAAGAGATGAATACAGTTCTGGATGCACTGCTCTCTAATGCACTGAGTATTTCCAACTCTTTGGCTATTGAACTTAAAGCATCTTACACTTAAAGTGTAAGATTGGCAGAGTTTATATGAAGTATGTTTCTCTCAGATTATCCATWGGTTAAACTCCAGAATGGGTCTTTGAAAGGAAAAGTTTAGGATTTATAGTATTTACCTGTAATGAGGGTGATAAAATTACATTCCATTACCAGTACTTACAGCAAACAAGTCTTTGGAGAAACAGTTACCATCTGCATATGGGCTCTTTCYGAACACAACTAACACAARAGGCTACTCTGAAAGATGAAGTGTGAAACTTCATGCTACAGTTACACATTCTTACTCTAGTTCTGATTAATTCACACTTTACCTAACTAAAAACAGTACTCTGCTGTACACTACACATTCTGCYTGACAAGACCAAAAATAAATCTTTGGTGAAAAGGTTTTCTTTTTCTTCAGCAAGTAGATAAAAAACTGTTAAAAAATATTTTTTTAATACTGTACTGTTCATCAACTACATGCTGGAGAAAAAAATTACACTTGGAATTCTTTGGAGATATCTGCTGGCATTATAACTTTCTTTAAAGGCTCTTGCAACAACAAGGTAGTTAAAGTTATTGAAGCATACAACTCACTTATGCAATCGGCTACAACAATCAAGAAGCCCTATTGGTTTTTGTTAGTAACTACTTAYACAATAAAATGTATTCAGCTCTTCAAACCTATAGCTTTTTAACTAGTTCAATTCCTTCTGGACAATATGTGGCTTCCTTCTCTTCTACAGAAAAGTCTTTGGTACAAGATCATTCTTCAAGCATTTGAATCAACACTGTTAGGGAGAGGTGAATGTGTACTGTGTGCTTCAGGACTGGCAACGGTTCTAAGGGGAAGAACCCCAGGAACCAGAGCCTGATCGCTCAGCATAATCCAACCACAAGGGTAGGGCTTCCCCACAACTTCTGACCACCTGCTGATACTGAGGAGCAGCACAGGAGTCAACCTGGTGCATCTGGAGGGTGACATCTCAGCCCCAGTAAAGTCAGTGGGAGTTCTGACAGACTTAAATAGAGCCAGGAGTTCCTATGGTTGATTTCTCACAACATTACATTTTAAACATTTTCTTTAAGTAAAAACATATGCCTAAATTTTTTTTTCTTTTCTTTCTTTCTTTCTTTTTAAGTAAAACTGGGAAAGAGGAAGAGTAAGAAGAAGACTGAATATAGATACAGGCAAGTTTATAACATTGGATGATTCCAGCCCTCTCCCTGTCTCTCACTCTCTCCTATTAAAAACAAAACRATACCCTGTCAGTTTGCTTCACGTTTCCGTGAGGCAGCTTAAAAGTAACAAACTGTTCCCTGAGTACAGGAAAAAACAACAAAATTWAAAAAAAAAMCAACCACTAGAATAATTTTTAAAGGAGGTAGTATAAAACAGGAATTGCATGGGTTCGAGGCAGTAGCAGCACTCACCTCTTAACAGACTCTTCAACTAAAGCTCTGGCTTTTTTATTTCTCATGGTAGCCTATTCAGAGTTTTACATTGGCATATAGGTAAAGTCACTCCCTGAGCTAAAATTCCTGGCTAAYAGCACACTAGGTGAAGGCAAGAAGCAGGCTGCATCCTAACTGTTCTGAGACATACTACAATGCTTATCAGCACTCCAAGATAGGCAAAAAATTTACTAGAAGCTCATGTTACAGTTTACTTAAAACATCTAAGAAGCATTTAAGGCATCTTTCTGTACTCCAAAGTAACTTTAYGAATACTAAAAAGGAATAAGGCAAATCAGTAATTTCATCATATATAATGCAAGGCACCATTGCTAAGTACTGTGATACTGGAATACTCAGCATTGTTATCTATTCCATGACTCTCAGGCAAAGCCAAGCTGTTTGAAAATGCTGAGTACTTCTTCATTTTGCTATGATTTTTAGCCTAAACTGTGAATAGAGGTGCAACGTTTGTCACACTGCGGGGAATCCACCATGTCCCAGACCCCTAAGGATATAGTACATACGCTGCCAGCAGTTGCTGGCACAGGTTTCTGGGGGAAAGGCACTGTCCTAGGCCTACTGAGGGTCTAAGAAATCAAGAGGTATAAAAGATTTCATGTGGCTGAACATATGGAAGTTCCAGTTCTTCCAGTTTTTAACATACTCTGTGTCAACCACATTAAATCATAACATTTTATACTCTGAGGTTTCCTCTTTTTTTTAAAGACAGAGCTTCAGCTAAACAATCTTGTCCACCAACCAATACAACTCCCTGATCACTGCACACACACACACACACTCTCTCTCTCTCTAGACACAACTGGGGTGAGGGGGAAATGAAAACAAAAAAAAAAAAAAAMCAAATAAAACAACACTACTAGGAAGTATCATCAGTTCCATAGCTGAGACCAACTAGAACACAAATGAGGTAAAGCAGTCATCATTCAGAGTTCACCTCTCGGCAAACTGAGGTAGATAGTCAGCAAAAGGGCCAACAGCCTTCCCTTTGCTCCAGTGACATATTTTTAACTTTAGTCAGAAATCTTCACTCCTTTCACATTTTTTGACTACTGAACATTCAAAATGAGTGAGCTTTAAAAAAACAAACCAAAACAAAGGAAAACATTCAACATAACTATGGATCACCTGCTAGGTTAGTCAGGCTTTCCACAATAAAACTTTGGCTCCCTGTTCATTGTCCTTCGAACAGACACACACAGAATGTCCAGCACAGCCCCGGGTGTCAGTTGGGCACCAGGGGCTGTATCTGCAGGGGGCAGCTGGGACTGTGCTCAGCAGCAAACAGCAGCGGGGTCTCGGTGCAGCCGCTCGTGGCCGGGCTGCCCGCGCTCGTACCCGAGTCACTGCTGGCCAGAGGGCTGCAGCCAGGAGGGGTGACACTYGTCACTGAGGACAGGTGGATCTCATCGTTTGACTCGTGAGAAAACCTTCCGGAGTCGCCAGTCTCGTGGCTTCCCTCGCTGTTGGCCGAGTGCTCCGTGTCGGCYGCCACGCTGAAGGGCACCGGGAAGCCGGGCTGCTGGCCAGGGGAGCCGGGGGAGCCGAGCAGCACCGTGGGGCCGGGCTGGTACAGACACACCGCCTGCACGAAGCTCCTCTGGGGCTGCACACAAGCACAGAGAAAAGGGTTGGTGAGCCTCTGAAAAGCTGAGCCATCATTTGAATTTTTACTGCATTTCCTGCCCCCWATTCCACCAGAATGCTTCTCTCAGGGCTTTCCTACGGCAGTTTAAAAATAATCARTCTCAAGCCTTGCTCATACTTTTCCACAGTAGATGAAATAATCCTTCCAGATAAGCATAGTTAATCAAAAATCATTTCACCAGAGAGACCTGAAGAGTATTTTAAAAACACATTTGGTAGAAATCCCTCCCATCCCCTCATGCATATTCTTTAAGCATTACTCCTTGGGTGATAGCAAATATTTTTCATATAGAGGCATCAGAAATACACAGCTGCTTATGGAAATATTTTTGAATATGAATTTACAACACAGATATCAAGGCTTTCTAATTCTTRAACACACAAGAGCACAATACAAGTTAAAATGCAACAAAGAATAGTTATATGCTCCATAGATGTGAATTTGCATAGTAATGTTGGTATTTAGTTTCTCTCTTTTGTTTCTCTTCAGCGAACAAAAATTTTAGCTGACAGGGTAGGAGAGGATTCTATTTTAATATTTGTTTTGTTTATAAATACTTATTTAAATTGTATTTATGTTTATACAGAGTCTCTGCAGAAGTAAGATCTGTGATGCAAAAACCCAGTACTCAGAAATCTTTCTGCTCACACACACAAAGGCAAAGGCAAGTTAATAATCAGTTAACTGCAGAGTTACAATGTTTGACAACTGTGAAGAGTCACAGTGCCCCAACAACAATATCTGTCAGAAAATGAAATTTCTAGAAGACTTTACTGTGGTGAGGTAGAAMACCATCAACCTTACACAACTGAAAGTATCCAATCAATACTAAGACCACTAAATATGTTTTTCCATAAATAGAAAACTACATGTGCTCCTTTGCAAACAGGGTATAATAGTAAAGATTGTGCATCTCTGTCCATTAGAGCAATTACCTCCTCAGTCTTCACCTTCTTAGCATCCTGGAAGAACAGCCACCTTTTCTTGCCATTAGTTTTTGTGACAGGCCCATAGCTGTTAATAATCAGATCGGATCCTCCCTACAATAGAAGAAGATGTAGACATTTATTCTAATAAAGTAGATTTCTAAGATACTTGAAAATATTTTTCTGTTTCTACCTTTTGACTCCATGMTGAAAATSAAGTCAAATGAAGCCTCAGCAGTGAGTCACATTTTTGTACCCATCTGCTTGAGACAAGTCAAGAACAGACCCACTGCATCTGGCAAGCTTTCTGTSCAGAGCCAAAGCTGCAATACTGCATACACACAGCACAATGGCTCTTGCTYTAGTACTTTGAAAGTAGCCATTCACAGACATAGTGTCAGTGCTCTGCTGGGGTCCATTCCCATTTCCCAGCTCTCACCCAGATCCTCAGGGAGCAGCTGTGCTCAGGTGTGCAGTGTGAACAGAACATGCCTTAACTCAGTACATCTGCATGGGAAAGGAAGGCCTCTGTGGTGTCACACTGGACCCAGGACTGAAAATTCTACACACCCACTGATACATCCTGCCATCCAGGCTAAATTACCACATTTATCACCAAGTATGAGTTTATAAACTGCAACATTGTCTTACCAGTAAATATATGGAAAAATAGTTTTTTTTAACATCTGCTTAGCGCCATAGTTGACTAGACTGTGCACAGGCACTTGCTGAGCTCGGTGTTGACAAGGACTCTCACTTATCTCCTTGGACCAGCAGAGGCCATCGAGCAGSCCTGAATCTACAGAGCCTTTATCCTTTGATGCTGTGCCAGAGCCAGACTCTGCTATCTGCAGAGTCAAAGACAAATGTACTGAAGCAGAACTCCAGCTGAACTTTCAGATAAGTTTTGAAAATTTGAGCCTGGACTGCCACGCTTGTGCTTGCCCCAGTAAAAAAAAAAAAGCCACAAACCTCCTGGAGGCTTGTAGTATACGTATTTTACTTTTGATAAGGATTCTGATGTTATAACAATTTCTGATCTGGGTGTTAGTAAAGCTCACAGTACCTTCGCATCGATGAAGCTGTTGCCCACTATCATTGGCAATAAGGATTCTTCATTCTCTGCAATTCCTTCAATATTCTTCTCTACCTCATTAGGACTGGCTAATGAGATGCTGGTACGTGACAGCTGGTCAGTGCTTTGCTGCACAGGCTTAGGAGCAGATGTTTTCCTACACAATGTTAAGTAGGAATAAAATTAACCCACAGGAATACAATACAAAAAAAAAAATCAAGGATAAATTTCAAAGCTACTATTAATCAAGTAATCCTGGTATATTCTTGGCATTTACACTTTGTTATATGATACTTCTAACTCACATGGAATTTAAATGTTATTGCTTGTGATAAAAATAACATCTGCTTCCAGTTAATCATACACAGTAGGCTACAGGTTTATGCRCAGACAGGAATTGTCATGATTAGTAATATTACTTGGAGGAAGTAACCACTAATGACATTAAGACTTTTCTACCATGCTACACAGACACTGTCTCCCAATCCATATTTTTTCCTGCATGTAGACTAAAGAGCCCTTGTTACTGAAAAACACTTTCAGAGTGTTTTAATCTATTATTTCAAGTGTCTAATTCTAATCTAAAASTTTTGGGCAGTCACTGGGCCAGTTYATGTCCTCTAGCAGCTGATGACAGATGGTGGCTTGCACCACTGCAAAGAAACTGCATCATGAATCTGCTTTCAAATCTGCATYGTGGAACTCCTTTATGTCAGAGTTCCTCTTGTCCAGCAACACCCAGGGGGTTAAAGCCTTGCAAGCCAGGTCTGGGCAGGCTGGAGGGTTAAGCAGGAAGAGCAGATGATGCATGGCAGCATGCTTATCTGACTCAAAACAGGGGGCTCAGCTGGAAACATGCCTCATACTTGTCAAAGCACCACCACTGACTCACTCTGGGGGTTATTCCTCTTTTTCATTGGAGAAGGGGCACAGGTAGAGTAGGAAGAGCCAACAAAGTGCTTTGTTTCCAACGCTRGTAGAAACAGGTGAAGAAACAGAGTAGTTCAGAGAATTTAGCACTCTTGGAGGAGCAGGCATGTCCCAAGAATGAATGCATTGAAAAAGAGCTCARTCTCTGAGAACATAAACATACCTGGCTTTACTGCGATAAATTAAGATCAGGATGCAGATAAGGATGCAGGTTAAGGCTATGCAAACCCCAACAACAATGCCAGTCATTGATTTCTGGTCCAGATGGTAATAGTCAGAATAAGCTATATCAAAAATGAACACAGAAAGGCTCAGTGAATAAGAAGAGTTAACCCCTGCTCCCTGTCAGGAAATTAAYAGGGTTACAGTTACAACCACAGAGACAAATGCTTCCTTCTAATGAGATTTCCAGGTCTTCTCTGTCATACATTTTTATACTTTTGAAAATAAAACTGATAAACCAGAGGAGTGTCAGGTTCAGTGCAGTCCTGATTTGGGAGGGGTGAAAGGAACTGCCTCCAGGGACAGACCCAGTGCTACTGGTATCTCAAGCCAGATAAAGGACTTACAGGAAATGCCTTAGAAGAGTGGCTGCAAAGTTACTGATGTAATATTCAAATCAGCTGTGTATTCTAATTTGAAAGGCAAACATCCGGTTTCTGAGCAGGAGAATTATACCACTTCTGAGTTGAACTGAGATAAAAATCACCAAATTATTTAATTTAGAAGAAAMTGCTGCACTGTTAGGACTGCCCCACATAAAACAGAATGGTTTACTCAGAAAGTAGTTACAGTAAAAACAAACTGGGATCTTTTCTCCCCAGTACTTGTGACAGAGTACTCAAAACATTGCTACTGACTTGTGGAATCTCCAGAATCCAAGCGTTTAGGTCTCTGGTTAGACTCTGATGYCTCCTTTGGCAGGACGGCAAATTCCACTGCATTTGAGAAGGGTCCTTCTCCCACTTCATTGGAGGCTGCTATTTTCACCAAATATATGTTTCCTGCTACAAGGTTTTCCAGCAAAGCCATGGTCATTGCTCCTATGAAAAAATACAATAGACAGTTCCAGTTAGATGAAATTTTGGGAACAGAATTAGACACTGAGACATAAAAGAGATTTAGACATTGGGACCTACACTTATTCTCAAATACCTCCTCTAAATGTTGCTTGAGGATTGTGAGCACTTTGATACATTCTACCCTGCATAGACAAGCTACAGAATGAACACTGGGCTTGACTTCTCATCCTTTCTTTCCTTTCTCTTCATTCTATTAGAACACAGGACAGTGTGAAGTGCCAGTATAGTTCAARACAAAGATTCCAGTATTGGCTATGACACACAGCACACTGACCCTAAATCTAGCACCAGCTGCATTTCAGTGTGACAGCTTTTATGTTGTGTTCACATTTGTGAGGAGAAACAGGCAACGTTAACAAGACTCTCAGRCAGTGAAACCAGAATGTTAAACCTCTCTCATACACAGCATATGTGCCTCTCCTCCACCCACTGTACCATGAACGTGAATGAAAATCGACATAAAAATAGAATCCAGGTTCAGTTTATCAGATTTCAGGTCTAGTTGGTTAAAAGAACAGGACAGCTTTGCAAGAGTACATTATACCACGATTTTAAAATAAAATTAAACCCTATTTAGATCTGTATAGGCTTCCTTGATTACTGTGCATCTAAGCTGTGCTACTAAAAATAKTACAGAAAATGTCTTTTTCATATGCTGGGGATTCATTTCCTAAAGTCCCTGAAGACAGGAAAAAAGATTAGGAACACTAAATAGGATTCACTAGCATTGTCCTTAGATAGGCAAAACTCCTATCAAAGTCAATGAGAGCTCTGCCTGCCCAGGGACAGCAACTACTGCTTAGAATTCCAATCCACTTCTAAAATGTCTGTGTTTCTTGCTACCATAGAAATATACTGCYTTTCTTACCCTAAATAGTGGCAGTTACAGCACTAAATCTATCTCTTGTTCTCCTTCACTTTCTCAGACTTAAGTAAAATTTTACATTTTTTAATCAGTTTGAGAAGTCAAAATTTATAGTATAGTGGGAGCCTATAAAAGTATTTTGTTTTGACAGGAAAGAATATACATTTGGCAAAAAGGAAGCTACTTCAAAAGCTACTTCACTTCTTCCATTAAAAAACCATTAGCTGAAAGCATTTGAAGTAAAATGTGAGGTATCTGTAACCRAAGGAGCTGTAATATTTAGCACCAGCCAGGGTGAAAGGTCACATTTCAATATCACAGGCTCTTTCCCACCAGCTCCTTTCCAATCTGCTGCATTGCTAAAGCAAGGGAGCACTTTGTACTGATTTACTGCACACCAAGTGTGCAAGGGCTGTCACTTGTGACCCGTTTGAGGAGAACTGGGGAAGGAGGGGAAGGTGGCTGGAGGATAACTCATATCATGGATTAGCGCCAAAATGCACTCAAGTTTTCTGGGTTTGCCAAGCTCAATCAAATGAGGGGGTGGATTGGTAGAAAAGTTCCTGCATAAACTAAAGCCCATGCAAGGACTTATATAGGTGGCAGGGTTGGTTTGTGGTGAGTCTTTGGTTTGCTTTTGGTTTTGTTTTTTTTTTTATTTTTTTTGTTGGTTTTTTTTTGGTTGTGGTTTTTTTTTGCTGTTGTTGTTTTTGGGGGTGTTTTTAGGTTTTTTTTTTAATTTGAGGGGATTTGTCTGGAGGTATGAAAACAGAATGTAGTCAAGATTTCACAAATGTTCTGCAGAACAAGTTTAGCATCCAGACAAAACAATGCTATTTATTGCACAGGGTTAACTGATGTAATCAGAATAAATGCATTAAAAACCTCAAACCCTTCTTCTACCTCGAATTACCTGCGCAAGGACTGCCACAGGACTGATCACAGTATTTGCTCATTTTGATCCCTACATACCAATTTTCTTTCACAGACTTTTTCACCCATACTTTAACTAAGAGCATAACAGATTGTCGTAGTGTGTTGAGATGCCTGAATTCCACACTATGCCTCAAACCCTAATAGATCTGTCAAAATAYAAAATTTGTGGCTCTAACATTGATGGACATAGTAATACACCGAGATTTATAGGTCTCCATTTGCTCATTCCCTCCAACATTTTCAGTATGGGAACACATGAAAATGTTTACTGTTATTACCATCCCGTCATCTGAAATCTCTGGTGAAATACAGAGATGCTGTTCAGTTCCACAGGCATGACTGAGCTGAAGGATCTGAAAGCAATTCAGCCACTTTGCTGCATGCAGCAAACACAGTATATCATCACCAGAATGACATGATTTAGTCTTCAAATATAAGCTCTTCATGAATTTAAATCTGCTGGGYTTTTTACTGAGTAAAAATTAATAGTAAATTTGTTCTTTAAAATGACAACTTTATATCCCTGTTTCTTCCAACAATTTAGTTGGACAACTCTATTTAAATCACTGTTTCGTTGAACAATTTTAATAATGAAAACCCCCAGGCTCAATCTTCCCCTGCAGTTAGACCTGACTGATATTTCACAGACTAGTTATTTTTCACAAATTTAGTTTAACAGTCATTATCCCGTTCCTCTTCACAGCTGCCTATTCTATTTGAGGCCAGCCTGACAAATGCTATTGTGCTGCAGCAAAGTGGCACTGCCACCTCTTACTGGGCTGTTGGTCCTTCATCCTCTCTTCAGGAGCAGCACGAAGGGCAGCCAGGTTTGAACTGGAACAGTTCACTTTCCATGGTGGTGAAATGAATTATCCTCTGTGAGACCATATTSATTAAGTTTTTGGAATTATCTCCGCAGAAAATTTTCAGCCTCACTCTCTGATGACAGCTAAGCTTCCAGCCAGGTAACACCACAGAACAACAAAACAGTAACTMTACCAGGACAATCCTCTTAAACAGGCTACTCAAGCACATGACTGTACTCTGCAACACTGAGCTTTCCTCTCTGGTTTAAGACATTATTAGAACATTATCTATTCTGAACTGCCTCTATTTTGAGTATCAACAGAACAATAAATGCCTTTTTCTTTTTTTTTCTGGCTACAGTAGAAATCTGTTCTTGATCCAGCTCTTCAAATCCTAGTATTATTCTGAAAAGCACTCACAAAAATTTATACTGTCTCTACATTTAACCACAGAGATGTGATTGCAGTTCATGTCACCATACCCAAGGTACTGTTGGACTAGCTGGGGTTCAGCAGCAGAACAGAGCCAGAGTTAAATTGAATTTGYAGAGTGATTTATTGGGAGTAGGAGAAAGTTCATTAAGTGAACTGAGCTAACTGGATTGGCAGTGATCAACAGAAATATGTAAACCCACACAGTCACACTTAAACATTTATTTCTGGAGAGCAAGGCATCTCAGAGGCTCCAGATTTGAAAGAGTGCATTTACAAAATGAAACCATCACAATCATGGTTRCGACGGAACTAAGATGGATGTAATTGGATTTACCAGCCATTTCAGTTTACATGCACACACTGAGCTCCARAGCAACAGAGAGCCCCTTCTCCCCTCACCTTCAGAATATGAACTTGTTTTTAATACATTTTCCCATGRCAATCATTCTAAACTAATTAGGACTTTCATATGAACATTTATATGAATTTATTCTTTATGGTAGTCCCAAGTTGCTGAAAGTAACAAAACATCATGGCTTGTCCAGTTCATATGTTGATGATTTTACTTTACCTTCTCTGTGCAACACTTGCCATTCCCCAGCAATCCAAGACTTCCTGGATGCATAGAGGATAATGTAACGTGTAACAACTGTTTCAGGACCATCAGGTGGCTTCCAGGAAACCAAAGCAGTATTATCCTCTATCAAAGTCACCTTCACTCCTACTGGAGGGCCAGATGGTGCTGTGAGAACAGTAACACAATGCTATTAGGCTAACCCAATTTACATGCAATTAAATTGCTCAGAAAGAAACTGATGTGCAGACCTAATGGCTACTGCCACATCCCAGAAACCACATCCAAACAAACACATACTGCTCCTCCAGAGACACCCTCCTGTTAACTCTGAGCTTGTCAATAGCTTAGATTCTGTAAAAGCAAATTTCGTGGTTTTCCTTCAGATCCAGAAAGAAACTGTTACTGACAAAGCCCCACTTCATTACCCTGTGAACAGGTACCTCCCAAACACTGCATTGGTGAGAACCCGAAACTGCAGGTTTGGATTTTCCCCTATCAAGCTGACAGTAAAGCAAACCAACAGCTAAGGCAGTAGATGTGTAATATTCTTACAGTTTCCAAAACTTCTGGGGCTTAAAATATGTTTTCATAGTGCCTATGAATCAGCTAGCCCTCTTCATTATGTATTTTAAAGTTTTTATTCAAGTTATTTCTATTCAGTGGTTGCTAGTAATGAAAGCATCACACTTGATATAGAAATCAGTSCTGATTTAGAGTGGATTTTGAAAAAGAATTTCACAGTTCCAAAATAGGGATTTTCCTGATAGCATTTTTCTATCTCTTACCAAGAAGAGTAGTATCTATAGCTCAGGGGAAAGAATTTCCCTCTCCTACACACCACTTACAATTAATAAGCAATTTTCCAGGCCATTTGGTTCACAGAACACTCTTTTTAGAACCTTAGGGTCCTCTCCTGGTTCCTTACCTTCTGGGAGGGTAGTGTGGTAGACTACAGGACTCCAAGGACTGGAGAGCTGGTCCACRTGCAGTCGAACTGCAAATTCATACATGGTCTTTGGCTCAAGACCTTGAACCAACATATGAGTCTCTGACCTGTACGGATGAAGGAATAAAATGCATTAAACAGCAGCAGTTGACTTGAAGATCCCAAACTCAGCTGATCAGATCTCTCAGTCACCTGAGCAGATTCTCACTGTCAGTTCAACACAGGACAAAGCAGTTGAATTCCAGACACATGGCACATCTGTGCTGCCTGCCTGGAAATGGAACTGTACAACCCTGGAGCTCTCGGGAGTCTGCTGGTGGTTGACTTGAGCTCAAGCTTTTATAAAGGTTGTTTGAATAGCTGATGCATAAGCAATRTTATTGGCTGGCTCACCAGCAGGTATCCCAAACTCAGCTCTTTCCACTTGTCCATAGGACACTACACCTCAAGCTGGGGTGACAAACTGCAGCCAGCATCACAGCTGACAAGGCACGTGGTGTTCGCTCCTGGATCTGCTTCCCTGTTCACAGACACACAGAGGCTGTGGGGGCAACGTCCCCTTCAAGTAATGGCCTCCAAACCTCATGTTTAGGGGACAAATATGAGTGCTCTCTATTTATCTGGCAGTAATATTTATTAATGTATTAACCGAAAAATTGATTATATTAATTATAATTTAGCAGTTTACTATTTGATCGCAAAGTCAACTGTGGATATTTTACTTTACTTTGATTCTGGGGGCAGAGGGAAATCTTTTATATATGCCAGGGTTAATTTTGGGTGATAATGCCCCAATCAAGATTAAATCTCAATTTAAAGTGGTCTTACTCTATRGATATTGCTTTATTAAATCTCATTTAGTATTTTCATCTTCTATATTGCAGAGGCAGCCACCAGAGTCTGCAACAGCCTCATCCTATCACAAGAAGCAGCACTCATTGCTATGCTCCATATTGCACAGTAAGAACTTTACATGGTGATTTTGCTGTGTCCAATCGTTAAGCCGGGAGTTATACAGCAGCAGACGTGTTCTTGGAAGAGAAAACCATGAATATTAGGATGCAAACTATTGATCCTTCAAGACAGCATTTTTCTTATTTAGAGGTGTGAATAAACTGAAGGTTTGAGGCAGCTACACACATGGATTCCCCCAAGAGCCCCACAGAGCCCAGCACGGAGCAAAGTGCTCTGGTCCCACAGCACTGGGCAGAGGCTGAGCAGACCCAAGGCAGACTCCCCTCGCTGTTCAGCCATTCTGTGCCTCACACATTGCTACTCTGCAAAGCAAACTATTCCACCCAGCTTTCCCCTGGCAGGGTGCCACACACTCAGGAACATGGCATTCCCACAATGAAATGCTCAGCCCCGCAAAAATTATCATTTTCAATCCTAAAATAAGACACAGGACTAAGTCCCATCTTTGCCCAGACAAACTACCTATAAAATGTTGAAGAGGAACTTAAAATTAAATTCAACATAGACAGATGAGAAGACATTAAAAAATCAAGAGCTAACCCAATGATCCAACACTGGTGGAGATTTAAGCTGTTCTGTGAATACATCTTTAAAAACCCAAGAAACTGAACTAACAGCCAATGGGCAAAACACACAGTCCTCTAGGGGAAATAAAAGATGATTAAAAGAGAGCAGGAAGAGCAGCAACTGAGTGGAAAGGATCTGGAACTGGCAAAGCAAGAGTCCTGAGTGGTGCTGCACTCACGTTTGGAGGTAGAGAACCAGCGAGGCGTTCTGCAGCCCCACGGGGTTGCAGCGCACGGTGTAGTTGATGAGCTGAGCTGAGGTGAAGGCTGGCTTTCCCCAGTGGAGGTAGATGGAGGATGAGGTGTTAGCTTTGGCATAGACGTGGTGAGGAGGCGGCGGGGGTGGCACCATGCGGTCACGAACAGCTGTGGAGACAAAATAGCGAATAGCAGGAATTATTCACTGCACTGTGTACTGCTACTGGGAACATTAAGAGGTCTGAGCCAACAGTTTAGAGTCAATTCTGCCCTCACCCAGCACCCCCTGGTATTCAGACCCAGGAATCCAGTTAAAGCTGTTAGAGACCCCTCCTAATACAATCCTGTATTACTTCTGCAGTCCCACTTGTTTATTGAAAAACAAAGTCAAAACTATCAACAGATACAAGGGAGAGAGAGAAACCTCTCATATGATCCATGGTATGTCACTGTCAGATGATGCAGCMAGTCCCACGGGGGAGGGAAATGTGCTTGGGCTATCTTGCTCCTTCATGAACACAGGATGATGCAGGATGATTAGGGCAGTATTTGTCACAGATATGATCTTTCTTKTTCTCTCTTTTACACTAAATTAATTGATTATTTATAGGTTGAAAATGCAAAGCTGCTGGGACCCCGAAACAGCTCAGCTCCTGATAAATTCTTCATGCATCTACAACACTTACAGACACATCCTGGAGTGCTGACTGTTTGGTCAGCCTGATAACCTTCTTCCATACTGTTGTATGCCAGCAGCCTCACATGGTATTTTCTTCTAGGATCTGCACAAAAARCAGAGGAATAATTAGGCTCAAGAGAAAAAAAAGGAAAAAAGGCTATTTGGACTTGTACAGATAGTGAGATAAATTCACGCTTCTGCAAATTCTTTTCAAAACTTGTTTGCTAAAATCAGTAACCCTGATGGCTGGGCTGGATGCCTGAAACCCTGTCTTTTCTCCAGCTCTGTGAATTCCCCCAAATCTTTGCCCAGAAATAGTCAGTTATCTCCCAATCTCACTTACAAYAGCCTAAAACAAAAGGTTATAACAGAATCAGTGGGAGTAGGACAAATCTCACATTTCTACCAGTAACAAAGTCTCACTGTTACAGCTAGGGGGCTAGATTTAATAGTACTATTCAGCCCATTGAGAATGTTTTCTGTYCTTTCACACAGATTTGCTAAAACAAACAGCAGGAACAGAAACCAACATTTGTTTCTGGATACAAGCTGTAAGGAAGCAGAGCAGTCAAAGCAATGGCAAGACAGGGCCCAGCAAAGAAATGGGAAATTATTTGGTACCAGGTTTTGAAGGAGATAAACTGTGAAACAACAGGGATTGTTAATAATGCTTTGACTAGGAAATTCTACCTCCATATGTTTTCTTGAAAGGTGTTTCTGGCACTCCTAGAGGGTCACCATTCCCAACTGGAAGGATCTCCCCATTCCCTTTCTGTGCCTTTGGGTGGGCACATTGCAGTTTGCTGCTTCTCTCCATTCTGTGGATGATACAGCAGCCTTGAACCAAGTGAAAAATTCTACCAGAGGAATGAGTTAGGAAGGGCTCTGGAGCTCTCTGTAATGGTGATGGCAAGGGGCACCCACGGGAGGTCAGAGTGCAGGCACCAGCACGGCTGCTCTGCCTCCTGGCACTGTTCCCTTGCAGCTGCATTTGCAACCAGCCCCTTGCACACAACGATGGTTTGCAAGGTGGCAGCAATCAATTCGTATGAGCTGAACTTCACCCAGAAATAATGCAGCTACTGGGACAGTCTCCTCTTCTAATGACATGAATTCATTTTTTTCAAAATAAGATTTTCAGAAGGGTCAGATGTTATGTAATTCTGTTGATCTTGTTCATGTCTTTTTTTCCTTGCCCTGAGATACCATAATACTATTGCTTCTYAAAATATGCCCCTCTCTTTCTCCTTTTAGCTGAGATCTGATGTGGCCTCTCATGAAATTAACAGGAACACAAAYTCCTGACATTTCTTGAGCAGGAATAGGAATGTTGTTTCCATCAGATCGTTGKCTTCCTCTGCAGTCACTGCACCAGCAACACCATCTGAACAAAATGATTGACCTTCTGTAAAGGTGGCAATTTTCCAATAATGTTCGTTATAAGATCTTCTCCTGTTTATTTTGAAATAGACCTACTTTTTGTGTTGCAGTTACCCATATCAGCTCTAAATGAATATYACTAGGTAGAGTTAATATCTCTATGTATTTTATGGGTTTTTTTTGAAAGGTTGTTTTACCAAAATCTAAATACAGATGCAAAAAGTCCTGTATTTGGTTTGTTCTATCTATAGTATTTCTTTGATGTGTTTCACCTTAATGGTAGAATAGGCAAAAGAAGGCCATTCCCATTTTTTTAAGATTTTAACATCACTAGCAGACAATGTAAATAACAAAATGAAAAAAAGCGTGTTTTTTAAACTAGAGTAAAATTCTAATTTGCTTTGAAGGTTTTTCTCACTTTACAATAGCATTTTTACAACAGACAACATGATGATGTCAGTTGTTCCCAGCCAACAAAGAACAAATCAGAAAAAAGGAGATGGATAGAAACACACAGAATAATCTTGAGCAAGTGACAGAAGAAAATATTAAATTCTAACAGTGAAAATCCAGAAATACGGTCAGATGCTATATGTAAAGAATTGCAATCTCTTTAAAAATTGTAAAATCAAGGTGCATTTAAAAATACTGGGGCCAACCAAAAGGATAAATGCTAAAAATATTTCAAAAGTCCCAAGTGATTTGAATATACCAAAATCAAGTCATGGTGCCTTGTTGAGGAATATTACAGCATCCATCTCAGAAAAGCAGAAACAAATACCTTCCCAGGCATCTCAATCTATGGTAGGGATATATACATTAATGTGCAAACGAAYTGTTAAAAAACAGAGCCAAAATTTCAAACAGAGGTGATGGAGGCATCTTTAACATCTCCCTAGGAGCGTCCTTTGGAGGTTGCTATCACAAACTGCCCTGTCGCAGCATTCTCAGCCCCCAGCCCAGCTGGGCTCCTGCCCTGCCCCTCATTCAGGGCTGGGGGTGCAGCCCCCCCGCTGCATTTCCGCAGCACACAGGATGACAAGCACGGCGATCCATCATCCTGCCCAGCACCTTCAAAAACTCCCTGCCTTTTGAAAGTGCTCACCCAGAACTGATCATCTTCACTGTGAAATGAAGGATGGCTGAGTGCCCTGCTGAGCTGAATGAGGAGCCTGTGAGGTCTGTTTATCCTCACCGTATTTTTTTTTAAACTGAATTCCTCATTAACACTTGATGGAGGAGAAAAGGAAGAATAATGGGATGTGGAAGAAAGGCAAAAAAATCTAACTCCCATGAAAAAATTCAAGTATCTTTGAAGGAAAATATTTTTTTTAAATCTTACTTTTAAGTACCCTCAACTCTTTACATGTGAATGTTGAATGCCATTCTTCTTATTCCTGCATAACACAAGAGATTTCAAGCTGAATTATCCTTATATAGAGAAACCTGTTTAAAAGTAAAGTCTCCCAACTAGTCCCTACCATCTGAAAAACAAGGTTATTCCTACATCATGATATCATGGTTTAACTGGAAGCAGGACTAGCTCAAGCCAATAGCGATGTCAGAATTTTTAAGCTGTCACGCATTAGGGCTTCTATGGTTAAACCCATCTGCTGGTTTCTGTAATTGAAATAGCAGCAGAGGAGGGAGGGGTGCATCAGGTACTGGCCTAGAAGCCCAAATGTCACAGTCAGATAAAAAGGAGAACAGAAATTAAAGGCAGTATGCTGAGCAGCAGCAGCAATGGATGTGAAAGTCCCTTCACAGATTGCACACATAACATGAGCAAAGCCCAGTTCACAACACCACCGTGTTGATAATTTTTTCACCATGTGCCAAACACGGTAACCTAAGATCTGCCAAAGAGCTGCCTCAGTTCCAACAGGGACCTRCTCACTATTTGTTTTATGAGGTGGTGAGAAATACGTTTTGTCTAAAGTAGCATTTGTTTAGAACATTTTTTACAACTTTACATTTTATTTACAGTCTTATGATATGATTTACTCCTCAATGGCAATCCCAACACAGACCTGGCACAAACACTTTCATCTCACAGTTCATCAGCTGGATCAAACATTCAAAGCCAGACATGTCCGTAGAGAGAAAACAAACTTCAGGAGCTTTCTTATCTCYAACCAGCACAGGTATCTTGAGTAGTTTACACATAAATCATTGAAAAAAGGCTGGGGATAGCATGGCTGCCTGGGGACTGCCAGTCTCAAATTCAGCATGTACCATCCGTGCACGGCTTGGAGGGAACAGTCACGCTCACAACAGACCCAGAGTAACACATCTTTCCACAGAAAACCACTGCTCTTCAAAAACAAATCAGGTGCAGTGATTTACTCAGCCCACTCAACATAAATTCAGCTTAAGTAAAAAAACCTAACTTCAAAATTTCACCTCTGCGTTTTCAAAATTTCTCTCTATAACTGGTAACACTGAATTGTGTCAATTAATTCTTCTGCAATTGCCAACATTTGTGTAGAGTCTGAAGGCCTGTTSCCAGTCCTAAGGTGAACAGGAACAATTTTCTAGCTTATCTATTTTTCAATTGGCAGAATTTTTTAAAAGTTTTTATTTTTTCTGTTAAATATCATTTGGAGTTTTTTTGTGCTGTTAATATTAGATTGTTTTTAAATTGTCACAGCACCAACAGGTCTTTAATAGGCATTTTTATTGTTATTACTTAAATCAACTGGTGGAAAGGACAAAAATCCATCCTGTTTGTACAGTTCAGGGGGTTGACACTGATGCTGATAGAATCACACTAAATCTAATTAATAAGTTTTATTATAAAAGTGCCTCTGGGGCGCTCTCTCTTAAAAKACATCACAGGCTGGATGGGATAAGTTGGAATAGCTCCACACAGTTCAGCAGCATCTGCTGCACACGACTGTTTTATGTAACCAAAACCTATCAGCATTAAGAACACAAGAAGAACAGTTCCATCACAGGCACAAATTTTGCCTCTGGTAACAATACTCCTGTAAAATAAGAGTAGACAAAAGTATCTTATGTCTTCTGTTTATGCTTTATGGTGCTTAACTTCAAATATCAAAATAGATACGTCCCAAGAATCACTGGTTTGCAATTTATGTTGGATCAGCCTCACCTACCTATTGCAGTTTTTGTAGGCAGGACACTGCTTCCTGGTGACATTCTTCTGGAATCCYATATCCTGTCATTCACTCTCCCATAAAAATCTGCAGTGAGTCCTGCAAATCCAGCCCTAGCAGATCTTTCAGYAGAGAGACACATGGGGGAGCCTTGTCTTTGTTTTGAGAGTCCATGAATGAGTCCTATACCTCACAGTAAAACCAGAGCGACGTTAACTACTGCAAATACGAGCAAAAGAATTAAGCTAAGCTATAATTTAAAACAYGGATTGTAATTTGGAGAAACATAAAACATTACAGTAGCTGAATTTCAGTAAGAATTCAGACAATTATTTTCTTGTGTATTTTACTGTTTTACTACACCCCTGAGATATAATCTCAGGATTATATTTAGTTGGTCAGAAAGCAGGCAGGAAACTCACAGCAGATACAAACACATCCTTCAAGAAAAATACTACAGTGCACCCAGATGTTCTGCCCCTGGTTTTATGACAAGTCATTTCACTTCCCAGCACCGAGGGCGAACCACAGCTCTTTATCTGTATGGATGTGAGAAGCAAAGAAACTGCAAAAATATCACAAAGACTTGAGACTTGACTGATTA